ATTGCGATCTCTGCGTTCCTTTCAGCACAGCTGGGCTGGGCGCTCCCTCAGCATGTAAGAAATAGCTTAAGATCAGTGGTCAGAAAAACTGGTACGAGGAGTAGGCTTGGAAATGGGACGTTTCCTGCAGGAGCATTTTAGTTTTGATCTTGAGAGGCTCGAAGGTGTGTGTCGGGCAGCCCTGCGCCACCTTTGCGTTCTGTCCGTGGACGTTCACGTTGCTTTGCACATCTCCTCCAGCGGGCCTGGCCAGGGTGGTGTCAGCGACCGGTTCTTAGGCACAACACGGAGCGATGATGAAGGCTCGCTCGAGCCACCTGGAAAGGGGCGTTTTGTCGTGGTAAAAACCCAGCTCACATCTTCCTTCTTCCCGTTCTGAATTCAGCCGGCACTCCTGCACGCCGTGCGTTTTTCAGTGATCACTTGATGTCTTTCCTTCGTGCATCAGTGCTAGGGGGCTGCCGACGTGGTCTCTTGGCTCAAGTCTGATTCTGGTCTGGCACCGGCTCGTTTTTAACAGCTCAACCGCGTCTGTTGGTTTTCTGTAGGTGCAGCTGGAGCGGATCCGGCAGGCAGATTCCCTGGAGAGAATCCGTGCGATCCTGAACGACACAAAACTGACGGACATTAATCAGCTTCCTGAAACATGACACCCTGATGAGCGGGCTCCAAGGCTGCGTTTGGGGTTTTTAACTCATCTTTATAGCAACATTAATTATTATTTAACTCTAACCGAAAGAGCAGAAGACAACAGAGGGGAGCAATGTCTAAGTTTTGTTTCTAGAGAGAAAAAGGTTTCGTACTGGGCAGGAAGAGAGCACAAGGGTGACTTGCAGTGTAGGAAGGAGAACTTTCTAATGGAAACACTAACGAGTGCGGTGTTTCGTGTTCCACCGAGTGGGATCAGTCCTTACATTCTGAAAAACTTCCCCTCTTTCAGCCGACTTCGTAACCTAACATAGAGTTTCGGAACATTTACCCTCTGTCTTTCCATCTTTCTCCCCACTACTGTGATCAAAGTAGCTGCTGGAAACCATATTGTCCCTCCAAAACATTGAAGAGCAAAGTGGTTGAAGTTTTTTCTGTTTGAATAGTCAGTAACAGTATTCAGCTAGCAGAGAGAATGAGGTGTAGAGTATGCTGTATGAATATTTTATATTAAAATATGACTTTATTAGCAGGACACTGGATATCGATCTTATTTCATAACTCAGTACTATTTTTTTTTCCCCCTTTTTTTTAACCGTTGACTTTATGTTGAAGAATCTGAATGCTGCTGAAATGTGGTTGGACATGAGTGAGCTGTGTGTCTCCTGAGCAGATAAATGCTAGTCCAAAAAAAAAGAAAAACGTACTGAGAATTTAGCTCCTTGAAGTTTTTTCCGTGGAATTCTGATACTTAAAGAAAAGCACAAGAAATGCACTGTTTTATAATCTCTTTTCACAAGCGTAATTTAGAACATGGAACCGGTTCTTTCTCATCTCTGAAGCTGAGCAGTAGCTGTAAGCCCTCTCCGCGTACGAAAAACAAAAGGTCAGTGAAAATCCTCTGTGCTGGCACGGGGTTTGCGCAGGTCTGCTCTGCTCCGCTGGGTGATACCAGCTGCAAAGCTGCTTTCGCTGGGAAGTGTCGCAGGAAGGTGCTGAGCGAAACCACCAGCGTGAGCCGCCTCTTCTGGGTCAAGCTCGGCGCCGCGCGGAGCGATGACCGCGCCCTCGCTCACGGAGCGCAAACGCCAAGGAGCCGCATTGCTCTGCTCACGCAAGTTCGCAAGGTACCGAGCGTCTCTTCCTTTTTCAGATGTGGAGTCACGGTGTTGCTCAGAGTTGAGTCCCGCACTGTCCCGTATTTCTGTCACGCTGTGCAGCGTGACGGCGGGGCAGGACACTCCTGCGGTCAGTCAAGCGCTAGGGTTGGCTCTCTCGTTCTATAAACGTACGGCGGGAACGCCACCGTTCCTCCTCCTTTTTCTCCTTTCCTTGGGAGTCCAGCGCGCGCTGCGGCGGTGTCACGTACGGTTGTGGGTGTCGATATCGCTGACGGTGCCAGTCGGGTTCTTCAGCTGGCCCCTGCTCACCACTCGGTTAAAAAGGAGGAGGCTGAAGGCGAAGACGCCACTGTCCAAATCTCATAACTTGGACTTTCCTCTGTTACTTACTGGTTTTCCTTTACGTACTTGGCCATAGGTTGGCAGGGGGTGAGGAAAACCAAAGTGACAGCAAATGCTCCATGCACATGAATATATTTTAAGTGCTTAAAGCCTATTTCTAGCAGCATCTGTCCTGCTACTAACGTAACGTTAGAACTGGTGGCTTTGAAGAGGAATGCCTTAAAAACAGCCAAAAAGCAGCATACAAGCTCAATTCCTTGTCCCTCATCGCAAAAATTAAAGCATTTTATTCAGCCTAGCAATTAATTCCTTTCATGATCCTGACATCCAAACCCCATTTTGCCTACCTTAGGAATGACCAGGCTCAGAGGTGGCAGAGTTGTCATCTTCTTAAGGCAACAATTTCACTTGAAAGATGTGGCTTTGGTTCTTTGTTAATTGGCTACCACGGATTTGGGGTTTTTTTAACCATTCTCGCTATCTGCTGAACTCTGAGGTGACAGCAGCTGCCTCCTGATGCACAAGTCCAACGCCGGATGTTTTACATTCAGTTTTCCAAGATTAGGGCCCTGTTCTGTTGGAACTTGGAAGAAAAATGAGTACAGGCCTTTATTAGGAGCTGCGGAATGAAAAGCGTTTTCCTGTGGTCCCTTCCTTCCCAAAAACTAACTTGTACCCGGTTACTGACACTTAACCTGTGCAGCAGAGTTCAAGGAAGCCGATTGTTGTGTGGCCAAACTGCAACTAAATCCATAGATCTCTTCAGCAAGCTGAACACTTCAGGAACTGCACTGGACGACCGACACAAAGAATTTTTGGTAGTTTTTGGACTGTCTTAGTGTGAGAGAGCAAGGAAAGCAGCTGGTATCGGCCTTCCGGCGTCCCTTTGTGGTCCGTGTGTTGGTGCCCCTTGGCAGCCACCCCGCTGCCCCCTCTGCTCACAGCCCCCGCAGCCGCAGCTGAGCGGTTCCGATGGTTGAGGTAGAGCCTGTGGTCGGCACGGCTTTCCCTTCGTGTGTTTTTTTTACGAACGGTGGACATGGCTTTGGGCAGGAGGGGCGGTGGCAGAGGCTGGCTGCCGGCTGTTGTTCTGCGGGTGCGGGGGCAATCGGTTCGTGATCTTTCACAGCCACGTAACAGCCACAAGTGGTTTTGCGCGCGCCCATCTGTGTGTTCATGTGCATGCTCGTGGGTTTTTGTTTGTTGTGGTTTTTTTTTTTTTTCTCAGTGGCCAGCAATGGCACATTGGTGGGGTTAGACGAGGCCGGAGGCACGAAGGGTGCACCTGCAAGGGGCAGGGCTGCCTTCCTTGCTTTTAAACCAGCCGGTGAAAGAATTTCCTTTTGCATCGGCGAGGAAGGGTGCCCGGTTACTGTACAGCTGTTTTCTTTTTTCCCCACCTTATTCTGTTGCGCACCGGAACGCCTTTAGCCCTGGTTAAACTCTGGCTGTGACCATTCTGGAGTTGGACCACGCGTGACCTTTTTCACCAACTGCTGCCATGTAAGGTCATACATTTTTAACAGTTTATTACTTTCAAATTATTCGTGAAGCCTCGCCCTGACGATGACTTTCAGATTGGAACCCTGGCTGTTCACAGAAGTGAGGGAGTTGTGCTCGCTGACCCGCGGGGAGCTTCTGGTGAACTCAAATTTAAGAAACTTGACGGGGCCTTTAAAAACAAAGCAAAGCTGTGTGTGCTGAATTCGCAGAGCAAATTCAGAAGACTGTAAATCAAGAGCAGTAAAAGCTCTTGGTGTAGGTACTCGCTGGATGACTTGCGGTGTTATTGCGCTTCCCTCCAGCTCTTGGTGTTCCGGGGCACGACTGGGGTAGGGTGGCCAGTTCTCCTTGCGTAGTGAGAGTGAGACCAGGCCCTGGGGCTCCCCTGGCAGGTCAGCTGTGACCCACAGGGTGAGTGGGATGGAAAACTACCTGGATTGTGGTGATGTAGAACGTAAAAGGGGACAAGATCGAGTTTTGTATGCATTCCTATACTTGTATAGTCTTAATCTGTACAAAAAAGTGTTCTGGCAGCATGTCTGGTTACCTCGTTACCTGCCAGGTAACGCCAGCCCTCCTTCCCTTACCGCTTTCCTTCGGCACCTCTGGGCTGTGCCACGTTTGGAGCAGTGCAGTACTACTTTTCAAACCGAGCTTGGCCGCGTCGCCTTTTCTAAGGGGTGGGGGGGACAACAATTATTTATTGTCCACAGCAGATCAGTCCTCGGCCTTTTCCTGGCAAGACGGACTCCAGAGCCCTTTCGATAAACGGCAAACTGAGCCTTTGGAAGCTAATACTGCATTCCAGTGAGCCAAGCCCCTGGTGTCCTGTGCAACTGTGGGTGTAGAATTCTGCTGTCTACAGGATTCCAGTGTAACCATTTGTTAACTGTATTGAAGGTGTGTCCTTTATGAAGAAAGTGTTCCAAATTAAAAAAAAAAAAAAAAAAAGCTGCTGCAGTGTGCCTGTGTTTGCGCTTCTCTTGTTTTTCCTACTCTGCCTTTTGGCACAAGCCTTCCCCTCCGGCCCCACGGCCCCCAGGGTAGGAGAAGTCTCCCAGAAGCAGCCCAGGGAGCTTTTCTGAAGGAAGCAGCAATTCCCACACGAGGAAGGGAGCTGGAAGCATAAATGACACTGTAACACGCTGAAGGTTGCGCGTACCTGCTGCCCAGGATCCTGCCCAGGAGAAAAGCAAAAATAACCAAACCCCACAGCACCTAAGGAGTCTTAACAAAAAGTATTTTTATTTCACAGTCCATCTTTACAAAACAATAATAAGTAAAAGGCGTATTGTTCAACATACAAACGCTGAATATACAAGGGGAAATAACCGAAAAATAAAGCTGGTCCAGCCTTTCGGGGTAGGTTCCTCATGGTGGGCGTGTTCAGAAGTTCACGTGGCTTCTGATGTCGTTGATCTGCTTCACCATTTCCCTGATGTGTTCTCCCCTTCAAGAAAAATAAAACCAAGTCAAAATGCTCAAAACGACTCCGGAAGGGAAATGCTTCACATGGCAGAAGCAGAGAACACAAGCGCTGCTGCACGTGGTTTCGTTAAGGAGAGGCTGGACAGAGCCTGCCCAGAGATCCTTGGGCAATGCAGCCTCAGGCTAACTCTGCTTGATAATTCAGCACACGAGCACCAGTGCTGCACGTTTTATGCTTCAGCCCATCTCACCAAGCTCCCGCTGGTGCATTGCTCAGCCCCGCACACAGCAGGGAGGTTAGATCACACCCTAGAAACTTCAACAGATCCTGTGGAAGTACCAGGGCTGGAATTCTACAGGAGGAGCTGAGGTTTAACTTACTCTTCCTTGAGGACGGTCTGGATGCACTTGCTTTGGTAGGCACTGAGGGTGATGCTGGGTTTTCGAGGGCTGGTACCCTTCCCCATCTTTTTCTGCTGGTATTCCTTCTTCATTTTGACCTAGAAGTCAGGGAGAGAAAAAAAAAAAGACGACCCCAGTTGGTCATGGCTGTCCAAATGAAAGCTGGTTGCACTGTCCTTGGGTTAAAATCTGCTCCCTTCCACACTCCTCCTCCCACAAAGAGCAGATGCTGCTGCTAGGAGTGAGGAAGGGGTGCAGACTTCTTTACCTTATGATTTATTGTCTCTTACTAACAAAGACGAGAAGTTATTTTAGTGCCACGTTAATTAACAGAAGCGCAGAGGTGCTCTGGTGGAAGGACTCTGTTCTCTCTGCATTCCCAGCGGGTGCCAGGGCGGGGCTGTCGGGGTCCTGCCAGCAGGTGACCTGTTCTCTCACCTGTCTGATAGCGTTGCTCAGGTGCTGCAGCTGGTCGTGGATCGTCTGCAGTTCTTTCCTCATATCCTTCTCGCTGTCGGATAGAACAGGGAGCCGCGAGTGGAAAGTCCGAAGCACTTTCTTCATCCTTGGTGGACAAAGCAAGAAATGTTGCTGAATTAACTCACCTGATAGACCAGTGACGCTAAGACACCACGAGCCCTGCACTCCTGCCGCTCGTGCCAAGGCTCGGGGGCTCCAGGCTTTCCTTTCCCCTTTGCCCTGGTCTCACCCGGCATCTGACTCAGCCTGGACCTGAAGTAGTACTGAAAAAATCACACTGAGCCCCAACAGAGAATTTCAGAAGCCCAGTCTCCTAACAAACCCCTGTCACTCCCAGCCCCCTGTTCTACCCCCGTGCCCACGGCAGGCGGTCGCTGATGAACCGGAGCGGTTTGCACTCACCTGTTCATAATATCTTCCTGCTTCTCTTTGGCTTCCTCGTACTTGTCTGCCAAGCGCTCGGCCATTTCCCGCAAACTTTTCCTTTATGCAAGGGAGAAATGTTTATTGAAATTTACACGCAAGGCAAGTCTGCGCACACAAACAGAACAAGGAGGCTGAAAAAGCAAGCTTGAGCTCCCTCCTGAACCTACAGCCTTAATTAGAGCTGGGAATGCAATCACTTCTCACTTGTTTGGCACAGGGCCCTGCAGAAAGTACTTGTTTTGCACACAGACGAGTCATTCCTGATGTTTGACTTGGTAAGAGCAGAAAGATAAATCCTCACCTTTCCTCTCGACAGTAATTAAGATCTTCCAGTTGTTTCTTTTTCTGCCCCCGCAGCAGCTTCACTCTTAAAATAAATACAATACATAAAATCAAACCACCCCGGTGAATCAGGATTTACACCACACAGAAAATACGACAGCACTGATTGATGCTCCTGGGACACCGGCAAATGGGCAGAACAAACCCTTCAGTTTTGTCCTAACTTCATAATCTAAATAACTAAAATTTGAAGCCGCAGCGACGTAATGCAGTTTTTCTTTGTCAGGAGCGTTGCAGAGTTCAAAGCATTTCCTGCTATTTGCTAACAGCAAAAGAGAAATATTTTATGTGTGTGTGTTGATAATGTTTTTTGTTTCCCCCGCCATGAGTCACTCTAGAGTATTGCCCTCACCCCTGACTGCCCTGGGACCTCAGTTCTCAGCTGTGGGGTCCCGTTCACCTTACGTGCACCCATTTCACTCATTGCCAAGGGCTGATGCAGCAGAGGCAGTTCAGTGCCCAGCCCTTAGCGGAAGGGAGCAGTGAGGCGGCGCAGGGCAGGCAGTTACCAGGGGCTGGTGTTACCTTTGCTGGATTTCCTCTTTCGCCAGGTCCTGTTTCAGGATGTACTCCTCTCGGAACACCTGGGTGGCTCTGCTGAGCAGCTGAAGGCACTCCTCAGGGGGAGGAGCAGCCTCTTTATCAGCAGACCTTAAAAACGAGAGACAGGTTTTTGCAATCTTACTCAAAGGCTAAAAAACTTCGGGTACTGATGGTAAAGGTTCTGGCGGGGCTCAGTTATGGACATGAGGGACTAGAATTATATCCCTGTGCTACGAATTGTTTTGCTCACATGAGGAAATCCCAGTCAGTCTCAAGATGCTCAAAGCCCTGAGCAGCCTAAGGGGGTGAGGTCAGCCTCAGCCATGATCCCTCTCCCAGCCTACAGTGTGACTGGATTTGATGCCCTCCCCGTACGGACGGCACAGCACAGCACCTGCGTCCCTGCTCCCCGTGTCCAAGCTCCTGCACCACTGAGTCAGGAGCTGATGGGATACACACACACACAGAGACACAGACACGATCCCTGAGTCATCCCTCTTCTGCTCCCCGTAGGCAAACGTTGTTTCCTTACTTCAGGTGCAAGGGATTGGCCGAATCGCGCTGCAGGATGCCTTGGATATGCTTCTCAAAGGAATGCTCTGACTGAGCCAGGATACGGAGAGGGGAAACGGCGACGTCTTCGTCCTCTCTGGTGCACAGCAGGGGAGGGGATGCAGGATGGACTGTGCTTCTACCAAAGAACAGCACGTTGGAGAACATGCTTTAAACCACAAATGTTTAAACTACGTCAGAGTTTAAAGGGGAGTTGGCGAGGAACTCCTAATTGATGTACTGCAGCAGTAAGGCAGGAGTGTTCTGAGAGGAAACACTGCAGTTGTGTGGTAAATCCAGCTCTCGACAAGGTTGGTGGAGCTCGCAGCCGGCCATCTTTCTGCCTGGCCACAGCTGAAACTATCCAGAATTAGAAATATCCTTTTACTCAAGAAGAAGAAAAGTTCCCTAACAAGGCAAGCAGCCACTGTAAGAGCAGCCTGACCCTGCTTCTCGAACAGCCTGCCAGGTCCACCTCTGTAATTTCTGATAATGGGCATTAAGTAAGAAAATTCTGTAAGAACCCTGCAGAAACAGTTAAAAAAACAGTCTGTAGGAGAACTTGACATTAATACGGAGGTACCTGAGCAGTCTTATCAGCAACAAATGAACTGAAAATAGCGCCTGCTCCTCAGTGCGTTGACTTAATTGTGCAAATGGAAATCTACCGCACTCATCTGTACCTTTTCCACCAGCCCCAAGCAAAGTGAAGTTGTTTTGGAAACGCATCCTAAAAATCCCACCTTTTTTTCCCCCCTTTCATGTAAACATAACCTTGGTGCCCATTAAGAATCTCTGTACTACTCTTTGTAAACAAGTGCTTGATTTGGAGATTACAAAAATGGAGAAAAAAAAAAAATCAAAAATACCATCAAGAACTGTTGATGCGAATCTTGTCCTAGTACCCATTAAAAGCTA